TCTCGTCTTTTTGGTGATATATCACACTTGATATTTTGATCAAAATTGCGCTTTTAAAAAATCGACTTTTTACTACCGATTAACCCTTTTTACTACCCAATGTTATCAGATCAATGCGGCTTTTTACTACCAAACGTTAAGTGGTTTATCGAATTTTTACTATCAAATGTTATGACTTTAAAATGCAACGTTTCGCAGCTGTGCCAGGTCGGATACGTACTGCATCGGAACCGTGCACGGATCTAGTTGTTTGTTATCGAAATGTCTATTCTCAACATGTGCAAAAAGTCGAAAATCGGCTCTAGAAGGCGCATTTTTGCACCGATTTTCTTTGGGTTTTCATTTTTACAATCTGCCGGTAATTTCTGACCTGATAGCACTTTAAAACTTACGAAATTCGAAAATTCTTTTGTTTTTGCATCGATTGATCTGAAATTTTAAATGCAAAGAGACTTCACTAATGTTAATAATATGATACAATCAAATTTTGTACGTCATTTCCGCTTTAAAACAGGAAAGCGACTGAATTTCAAATCTACTTCCTGTTGAATAACTTCCGGGGTAATTTATGTAGGTCAACAAAATTTAGCTTATCTTTGGCCAATAAAATTCTATGGCCGATTTTAAAATAAAATTTAGACCGGAAGTGATACTTCGGCCGCCATATTGAAAAAACACACTTTCGTAAAACTCAAAATGGGGCCTCAGGGTAAATGTTGATATGCTCAAATTTGATGTGTATGTATTCCGCAATCTATTGCGCAAAAAACATTTTGAGCTGAATTTTGAATTTCGCTTTTGGTTTTTTCAACTTCCTTGGCTGTTATTTGATACTTTGACATTTGACCTCCGACATGTACTTCCGGTTTATAGCTTTCCGAAAAAAGCCAAATTTGCAATTTGTACTGCTCTAACACGCGACTTAATTAACCAACCTAGAGGGTTAATTTTTTCCGTTTCCTTATGTGCTGCGGATGTAACAGGAGGAAACTGTATATGCTAGCGTGAAAATGTGGGGATCAAATTATGCAAATAAGTCAAACTGGGTTTGGGGATATATAAAGTAAGATGAAAGTTATGATGAAAAATGCAAAATTATATATTTAGGTGATAAATAACGCTAACAATGATGACGAACCGGTTTTCGAAATATTATCCTTTTTCAAGTGTCCAGGAATGGTTATGGATAATTTGGAAACTAAGAATTATTATGAACGTGTACCTTTAATAGAATTAGATACATTCCCTTTCTAACCTCAAGTTATTTTCATTATGCTCCCCAACTACAACAACCAATGGCAAGAAGCCAGACATAGAAACACTAATCGTCAACCAAACCAATATCATGTACCCTACAACGGCCCTGTCTTCCATCGACCTCTACCACCTACCAATCGCCGACCACCAACCAACCCATCCAGCTATATCCCACCCCATCGCCGACCTACCTACAACACCTACCAATCAAGAGGTAACCATCGGCCTGACCAACAACAGACGCGTCTACCAGCCCACCGACGCCAACCAGTCCCCACTCATAAGGAGGAAGAACCCTTTGTGAAGGTGTTCTTCCAGGTTTTGCAGTGCCTCCATCATTTGGCAATCCTTACCCTTCAACAGCAAAGCCAACCAGCGTTTACCTTCAAACGCAAAGTCTCTGAGTTGGATAGTTTTATCCGTCCAGCAATGAAAACATCAGCTGTTGACGCGAATATTAGATCCCTCAATCGGACATGGCTCTCTAAGGTTACGCAGGTCCAAACAGTTAACCTTTCCATAACACACGAAAAGCCATCTCACACGAGTGGAACGTGAAGCGTTAAACTTACTAGAACGACGATAGAATTGTTATTAAAAAGAGTGACAAAGGTTCATGTTGTGTCATTCTTAATAGGGAGGATTACGTTTTAGAAGCAGAGAATCAACTGAATAATCCTAAACATTATGCCATTTTACCGAAACCAATTTTCAAAGAAACTGCTAACATGATTAACAATATTCTTGCCGATTTAGTCAAAACTAGTTATCTCAAACAGAAACAATATGACTATCTGTCTGTCAAACCTGATTGTCGCGAGAAACATTTGTACACTTTGCCTAAAATCCATAAGAATCCAACCAAGGAGTGGTTTATCTCGAATAAAATCCCTAAAGGCCGCCCGATTATATCTGACTGTGGTAGTCATATGCAGTGTCAGAATACATTGATCATTTCTTACTACCTCTAGCATGTCAACATCGCGCCTACCTTAAAGACACAACCGATTTTGTCAATAAAATAAAAAATCTTAGAGTTCCCTCTAATGCTATTTTAATTTCTATCGACGTTTCTTCTATGTATACCAATATCGATAACACTACTGGTTTAACGGCAGTGCGTAAAGCTTTTAATAGAAACCCAGATCCAAACAGACCCGACGATGCAATTCTACAGCTTTTAGAGATTTGTCTTAGTCGAAACGATTTCACATTTAATGGTAAAACATATTTACAAACTTCAGGGACAGCAATGGGCAAACGATTCGCCCCTTCGTACGCAAACCTTTTCATGGCAGAGTGGGAACGTGAGGTGTTGCCCCTCTGTCCATTTGACCCACTTTTTTACGGACGCTTTTTGGATGACATTTTTATGGTTTGGACTTATTCTATCGAACAGTTTTGGGAATTCCTTGAAATTCTCAACAACCACCATCCTTCTATCAAACTAACCGCAAACGTGAGTGACAAAAGCATAGACTTTCTCGATACCACAGTCTTTAAAGGAGATTCCATAGCAGAAACAAATAAACTGGATATTAAAGTGTATTTCAAAGAAACTGATACTCATCAACTCTTGCACAAGAGCTCCTTTCACCCAAAACATACCTTTTCTGGTATAATTAAGTCACAAGTTTTACGATTTCATCGAATTTGTATAAGATCTTCTGATTTCAACCAAGCCTGTACGATTGTTTTCTCAAAACTGAAAGAGCGTGGGTACTCTAAACGATTTTTACGAAACATAAAAAATTCCACCTTAGCACAGATAGCAGCTAAAAACAGACTTTATGCCGAAGTACCTCCAGGTTTAAGAAGTGCTCCATGTTTGTCCAGTAGATGCAAAACATGTCCCTTTATATCAGAAACTCATTATTTTGTAAGCAACTCTACGAATAAAAGGTACCCGATCCAGGAACATCTAACATGTGAACATTCGAATGTAATATATTTAATTCATGCAAGAAATGCCACAAACAATATGTAGGAGAAACTAAGAATAATTTACGAACTCGCTTTAATGCTCATAGGTCAGACAGCAAATTAAAGAAAGACTGTTTCTAATCATTTTAACCTCGACGACCATTCAATAGACGATCTCGCCCTAATCCCAATTGAGCTTTTAGCACCCTTTGTTGTCCCCTTTAATACATCCAGCAATCGAGCAAGCAAGATAGTTTATGGCCACTATAAGAGCCTTCAGGAGAAATTCCCCCATGTCTATAAGCAGAAAATGATAGTTGCATATTCAAAAAATAAGAACTTAAATGATAATATTATTCATAGTAAACTAAAAACAATCAGTACATAACAGATACTATACTTCTCGCCCATCGGCGATTTATAGTTTTTAATGTCACATTAGTAGCTCTACCAACTCACTTTCAGCGCACGATAAAGTTCCAATCCAATAAAGCCCGCTGCAGATCCATTGTCTACAAAACAGTAAGTGGCCACAACATTATGTTGGATTTATGACTGACCAACACGGGCACAATAGCCATTAAAGGGTTTGAATTTTGTATATTAACACATCCTGATGCTATCGTATGATTATCATCACTAACATTTGTCTTATTGTTACGAGTTGGATCATGCATAATGGTCATGTGTTGTCTATCACAGTTTTCACACTTTACCCATTCACTCTTTGGGCAATCAGCCTTACTATGATTGGGATTTAAACGAGCGAAACACAATCCATGACTTTTAACGGCATCAGATTTGTCTTTAATGCTCAAAGATTTAAATTTTCTACAGCTCAAAAGTGTATGATCATTTTTGCAATGAAGACAAGGTGCTTGTGCAGCCAAATTTAGTTTAACGTTTGTCCATAACACTTTAGTTTTTGTTACTGGTTTAACAAAAGACTTAAAAAGTCTATGTTGATCACTCGATAGTTTGGAATTTCCCACGGGAGTCTTGACACCTGTCGACCTTTGCTGGTACCCAAGACCACGTACCCTTGGGTCATTTTCATTTCTTGATTTTCTACCAATAAAGGCTTCAAAGTCCTCTAAGGTAGTCCGAGTCTAAAAGACCGGGTTACATCGATTTCCGAGACCAAAAAAATTCGACCCAAAAATGGATTTTGGTACCACAGGTAGCTACCTGTTGAAATTTGCCAATTTTGCCTTTTTTGAAAATCAAAATTTTGAAGCTTCACCACGGCCAAACCACATGAGATAGGATGCTGAAATTTACACAGCAACTAGTTAGAAATCTTAGCTTTGCAATGCCACTAACCACGATTCCATATCAGGATACATATACAGGAGGGGTAATCATGGGACATTGTTTTACAAGCTCTCTGGGATCACCTGGGGTATACTTAATTAACAGTTCAAGCCTTCTGGCAGGATCTGCTGTATTGTCCTCCACAGCGTATTTAAAGTTGGTCGTGAAAGCTGGGAAATCCAAGACATTTCCATTGAATGTTTGTAAGTCAATTCCTGTTCCTTCTGATTCTCAATCAGTTTGTTTAAAATACCAGTCAGACCATTTTCACTATGGTATGGGTCACTATGCACAGTATTCACATTGTCTCTATTCAAAGTATTTACATCAGTCACTACTGGAGAAAAGCCCATAGGAGTATCAGAAACTACACTAATAGGTGGGACAAACCTTTTCTTGAGGAGGTAAAGACACGGGCTTTGTTGCCTTTGGTAAAGGAGGCTTAAAACTCACCCAGAGTCAATATGAATCCTAATAAACTCTGCTGCTGCACTTAGTTCAGATATCTATGCACATTCTTTCTCTTTCCTTTCAATTTCTCTGATCCTTTGCTTCAATTCCTGTTTTCTCTTTATCTTTAAGGCCTTCTCAGCAGCCTGTCTTGCTTTTGTTTCTGCATTTGCCAATTCTATCCTTCTCTGTATCTCTTCCTTCTCATTCTGCAGATCTGTCTTGGTTTTCAATGATTCTAATTCAGTCTTTAATTCTATTTCCCTTTGTAATCCTTTGTATCTGAGTGCAGATAAAGTGACACTAACCTCACTATTACGTTTCACATTTGATGCACTGTCCTCGGGCTGTATACTGTCATTATCAACCAGTTGGGATATGTCCAATGTTCCGGCCCCATGTTGGACATTTTGGAATGTTTCTGGTGGTGTATGTGTGGGTGTTGCTGATCTTACAGTTTTATTCACGGGCCGTTTAGGTATAAAGGAAGGCGGCAAGGAAGTCATTATTCCAATTCACAAAATCACAAATGTTCTGTTTTCACTATGTCACAAAGAGTTCACTGATCTTGATCACACGAGTGTTAACAGTCACTGACGGAAGTTTTTTACTATATTATGTACCAAAGGTCACTGTGGACGGTCACCATTGACGGACAGACTGTTTTCGGCGATGGACTGTTATTACTCGACTATAACGTTGCCTAGCGACCATGCACGGACTTTGAAAATAGTCTCGAATGACTAGACACGCAAATTCACCCAAGGACCAATATTGCGTTTGAACATTACATTCTGGTTTATTATACGCCTAGTATTTGTCTTGTATGCACGTTAGAGGCTTCAGTTTTTTTCTGATATTGAGTTATTGCCCTTGATTTGACTCGTCAAAACGCGTTAAATTTGGCTTGTACGCATGATGTCAGTCAATTTGGAAACCGGTAATAATTGGATGAACGGTTTAGTTATTTCTCTTGACTAAGCAAGAATACATCTAAATTGGCTTGTATGCACGATGTAGAAATAGAGGCTACAGTTTTTATCAGATTTTGATGAAACTTGGTATGCATGTATATATAATAATGAGATCTCAGTCAAGTTCGTAATTGGTAATAATCAGGCTTCATAGTTATTGCCCAGGTGCATATGTCGATGAGACCTTGTTCATATTTGAAAAAGATGATAATTTGATGAATTGAAACTAATTTCTGTAACATAATGCAATCTGAAACTGAAATGAACATAATTCACTGGATCATTAATCCATCTTTTATTTGTTTCAGAACTAAAGAAACGGTTGATAGAAAAGATTTCAATTCAGTTTTAAGATACCTTTTGTCAAGTTTAAAAAGCAAAGTTCTGAGGTTGGTTGTTTTATTCATTTGTATCGTATAAATTACTAACAGCGAAAAAAATATATTATTAAAGGGGCTGCCTTTTTATCTGTATCGGGGACACCTGTGACGTCTATTTGTAGGTTTTCTAGACTTTTTATGTGTACCGGAGACACCTTTGACTTCTATATGGAATGTCCCAAATAGAAGTTAAAGGTGTCCCCGATACAAATAAAAGGCTAGGAAAACTCTTTACAAATTTGGTATTCTATTTACAATCTCCAGCACCAAGAAAAAATACATTTAAATTCATTTTGCAAAAAGCAATATGAATTAATTGAAGTTAGTATTAACTTGAAATATTTAAGTTAAAGGTAAAAGTAACCCGGATTTCCCACGCCCACTTCAAAAACATTGTGTTGTCTCTAATAATGTGTACAATGTCAAATAATATTCAAAATTTCAAGTGTTTACAATCATTAAATCATGAGATATTCGTAGTTAAAAGTTTTTTAAGGCCACGGTGACTGTCAGTGGATATTTTCATTTTTGTTGTTCGACTTGTACTTTTAACTTTACAGATATTTGAAAATTCAACTTTTACTACCGAATGATAACATCTTTTAGTACCGAATGGTATTAAATTCCAACGTCTTTTCACTACCATACGTTAAACGGTTTAAACGATGTTTTGACTATTGAATGTTTACATGCTTTTCTTTTCAGTAGAAAATCCCATTGTGACTTTAAAATATAACGTTTTATCGCTGTATTTTTTTCCGATTCTGGTCAGAGAGCCGAGCCAAAACTGCATATGTCACACATTAACTGACATCATTATCTGTCATAAAGAGCGTGTCGTTGTTGTTTAAATGTAAAATGACGCATTTTTTCAACCGGAAATGACGTAGGACGTAGCCACTCTTGACGTCTTTCGAATTACTGCACCAATTCTGAATCCATTTTTGATCAAATTTTTGTTTTGTTCTTTACGTTTTAGTAATGGCTAAAGGATAGCACTTTAAAAAAAATTAAAGATTTATACTTTTGTCGCTGACTTTTTTTCTTTTAATAATAACGTTTTTTTCAACCTCTACAATTTTATTTCGATCGATCTGAAAATTTACGAGTTGATAAACATTTTGATTGCGAACAAAATTTTGTTCTCAAAATTTTTGTATCACTTCCGGTATTGACGTAATTACTGCTAAATACCGGATGTAAAGAATCTCGCCGCATTCACAAAGCTAAATTCAATATTAATTGCCGAATGACATTCATCTTAAGCTAAAGACACATACATGCGATGCGTTCATTACACCACAGCGTTTCACCGGATCGAAACAAACAAGGGTATGTAATTGACATGACACATACATGCTGTTGCATTGCGTTGCTATATTTCCCCGCTCGGGACTTTCTGTCCGGTGAAACGCAGCTGTGCCGCAGGTGATTTCCATTATTTTCAGACGTCATTGTGGGGGAACCCCATTATTACAGAGTGGAAGCCGTCAACATGCCACGTCCAGCAGAAACTCCACGCGCGTATGTGTCATACCTGCATAATCGCACCGGTTTACCCCAAAGCAGGCATCGCACCCGCATGTATGTGTCTTCAGCTTTAACGTTAATTTCCGAATTGTCCGGGAATTGCCGAATGGTGATTATGTTGCATTCGATTTTCATTCAATGCTACAGGTGTGATACGCACTGCCTCAGTGCCCGTCTGCACGGCTCTAGTTTTAATTAGTTCTAACAAGTGTCCACAGGTTGTTTACAGGGATTGTACAATAATAGCCCCATGTTAAGTGAATGGGGTTTTGAATTTGCATGTAAGATATGCATGTTATATATCACTGGAAAGTCCTCGATGCGTAGATTACGTTTCTGTGAAAATTATGGTTATAGCATGAATAGAATGGTTGCTAGAGCTCTTTAAAAGAAAATTTCACTATTTTCAAACGCCTATAACATCGGAAGTTATAGTCGGAAACAAAAAATAAATATACAAGTGGAAAGGTATTGTCGAGGACATTAGGCCATATGAAACTCAAGGTTATAAGACTTCAAGGCCACGATATAAAAAGCCTTAAATATTGAACAAATTTGAAAAATTTCTTTAAAAATGAAAAGAAGGCAAAATCAAACTTCAAAATTCGGCTTGCAGAGAATTGTTCACAAACGTCTTAAGTTTCCATTGACACCAAAAACATGCAAGTCGGATAAGAAATGAGAGAGAAATATCGATTTTAAGAAATATTACTCTAATCAAAATGGCGGTTTTATTGACGCTTCAATTTTTTTTCACTCATTTTACTTAGAATAACATTTATAATGATATGCATGTTTTTAGGCGTAACTGTGAATTGTAAAAAGTTGCAAAACTGACTTTGAAGGCAATTTTTGCAAAAACTGGATATGTTGCAAAACTTCTGAAAAGACATCTGAGTTTATCAACATGACAATATTTTCCCATATAAATTTCAGATCGATTGACTTCATAACAAACGTTTTAGTACAGTGCTAGAGAGGCTTTGCTATTATAACTTGCAAACAATATAGCAAATTTGCATAATTTAATGTTCTAATAACAGTGCTGATGCAGGGCGTGTTACGACATTCAGGTACATACGAAGATGGTCTCTTGCAATTACATTGATGTAAATACTTTTCTGCATCTCTAAATGGAAATGTCCAAAAGTGCTTGGAGTTTAAAGTATATTGACTAGGAATAAAAGAATGTTTGTCAATTAATAAAGACCGAGTTTGATGAAATCCGGAAAAGAAATAAGAAATTTGGCAATACGCATGCGCATGCGATATTTTCATCTAATTTATAATTGGATTATACACATACCTAGCAAGTTTGATTAAAGTCGGATAAGAAATAAGAAAGTTGATAATGCGCATGCGCACAACATAAATTTAATATTTCCATCAAATTTAGAATTGGATTATACACATACATACCAAGTTCGGTGAAATTCGAATAAGAAATAAGAAAGTTGGTAATGCGCATGCGCACAACAAAAATTCAATATTTCCATCAAAGTTAGAATTGATTCAGTTTGGGACCTCATATAAATTTGTACTTTTTCGCGATGGTCTCGACACAGTCGGCCTTTAAAAAAAAAAGAAAAAATAAAGGAAAATAAGGATATAGAAAAAAGATCTTCTCTGTGAACAGCGTTCGTTCGTTCTTTCTTTCTTTTACACTCAGGCTACGCAAATGCCAGTGCAACCCATTTCGATACATTTAACAGAGCATTACGTTCTATAATATTCTGATTTGCACAAGCCGTAGGGCAAACGTCGATTTTCAGCAGAGTTGTAAGGCACACGCCAATTTCCCATTTCTAGAAGGTGTACGGCATATGCTAGTAGCAAGCTGGCATGGTAGTAGGGGGAATTCTTGTAATTTGTATTATGAGGGTGGGCCACGCCTGGAAGTACTGCAATACCAGGGCAACCCGTGATGAGGGCGGAGCAAGCTCCGGGCACTACATCTAGGTCCAAAAATCAGTTTGATATCGAAGTACCCCGATGGGTATTAAGCTGATAAGAACAGATACTACACTTTGATCTTAGCCAAAAGGCCGAGAAGCGATGCCCGCTCAGAGTCAGTTTGGGACCTCATACACATACATACCAAGTTTGATGAAAATCGGATAAGAAATAAGAAAGTTGGTAATGCGCATGCGCACTATAAAAATTCGATAATTCCATCAAATGTAGAATTTGATAATACACATACATTCCAAGTTTGATGAAAATCGGATAAGAAATAAGAAAGTTGGTAAATTAAGTGGGTCTATCTCTTTAATGTGCTTCTGTAAGCTTAACTTACATAATTGATAAGTTCAGTCCACCCTAGAGCTTATTTATATACCACAACTGGACATAAAACAGTCATATTAAAGAAATGTAAAAGGAAGGGCATTCAATCTTAGACCGTGGACTTAAATTTCTTCCCACACCAAAGATAGCTAACTTGAATTATCTCCGACCATCCATTGAACGATTTCAACGAAATCTTAGCTGCACATATTTTTTTCGAAACCGCCCCCCACGTGCTAGAACAATGTTTATTCCTAAATCCACGTGGACACCCCCTCAGGCCGCCATCCATCCTGAAATATTGAAATCATTTGCGAGTATGAATAGCCAAACAGT